AAGTCCCCGGCCAAACAAAAACATACAAATCGATCGACACTGTAACGAATATTGAAGATGCAGTCAATTATACACAGGAATTTTTAAATTCGTTGAACCCTTCTGGACTGCCACCCCATGAATTGACGTTAAAAATCGGAATCCCAATCATGCTTTTAAGAAATTTAAACCCTCCGAGCATGTGAAATGGGACGAGGCTGCTTATTAAGGAGTTAAAGGACAATTTAATAGTAGTAAATATTATCACTGGCCCAGCAAGTGGTCAACTAGCTCATATACCGAGGATTCCGATGATCCCAACTGATCTGCCAATCCCATTTAAACGGCTTCAATTTCCGGTAAAAACATCTTTAGCATTAACAAGTCCCAAGGCGAAACCTTCGAATTAGTAGGGATCGATCTGCGAAATAAATGTTTTACTCATGGTCAACTGTATGTTGGTCTATCGCGAGTCGGAGCCCCTGAAAATCAATTTATTTTGCTGCCACAAAATAAAACAACATCAAATATTGTTTACAGAGAAGCACTAACAAAATAAATGTATTTTCTTTTAGGGTTATGACCTCAATAATTGAAAAAAAAAAAGGATGAATATGTGTCATATTATTATTATTATTATGAATGTGTTAAAATTGACAAATCTAAATGTAATGTTTAATGCCCGTGCGAAGCCGGCACGGGCCGCTAGTTCAGAATATAATAAATGAATGCAATATATGCAATTTGGCTAAAACAGAACACAGAAATACCAAAATGCCTCTTAAAATCACACCCAACCCTGAACATTGTCGAGACAAATTTGTGGTAGATATTTATTCATCTGAGGGAAAACATTACATCAGTTGCATTGACATTTATTCAAAATTCGCTACACTTGAACATATTAAATCAAAGGATTGGATAGAATGCAGGAACGCACTAATGCGCATTTTTAATCAGTTAGGTAAATCCAAATTACTAAGGGCAGACAGAGACGGAGCTTTCACCAGCTTGACTCTAAAGCTATGGCTTGAAGCAGAAGGAATTGAATTACAACTTAACACGGCAAAAACCGGTGTAGCAGACGCCGAAAGACTACATAAGACAATAAATGAAAAAATTCAAATAATCAACTCATCCGATGATGAAGAAGTAAAATTAAGCAAGATATAGACAATTCTTTACACATAAAATCATAAAATAAAACATGATACCACTGGACAAACACCTGATCAAATATTCTTATACGCTGGACATCCAATATTAAACACTCAAAATATTAAAGAAAGGAAAATAGATAAAATAAATGAAGATCGACAGGAATTTAACATTGACACTAGATACAGAAAAGGTCCACTTCAAAAGGGAAAATTAGAAAATCCATTTAAAGCAAATAAAAATGTAGAAAAAATAGACGAAGACCATCACAAAATTACCAATCGAAATAGGGAAACCCAATACTAAAAAAACACAATTTAAGAAACAAAAGAAAACTAATGCCGTTAAACTTCCACAGGAACCTTCTGTACGATGATGTTACTTATTTCACATATCCCTATTAACCACAAAACCATTAACACCATTAAAATAATTCCTTATCCCGACCATAATGGATACCAGTTAGACTATTCAGATCAACAATCATATTTTGAAGATAAGAATAAAATTTATAATCAAGACAATAAAGAAGTTAATAATGAATGCATTAAAAATATAATTAATCGTAAAAATCCAATTTGTAATTATTTAAGCGAAAATTCGTTAAGTCCAGAATTTGATTTAACAGCATTGTATTCACCGATTAATGTAACTAAGATAAAGATAGTAGAACATAATGACGTTTTAAAACTAATTTCAGAAAATAAAACCACACTTTACGTAATTATAATATTAGTAGTTATCGTTCCTATTATTGTTGTTGTCCTATCAAAATTGTTTACACTAAATCCATTTACCTTTTATATACAAAATTTAGAAAACAAGCAAAAAATAATCAAGAACCACAACAAGAAATAGAACCGGCACATAACCAGTTGCCTGCATTGTACCCTGAAATGCCAGCCCAAACATAGGCAACCCTTTTAAGGGGAGGGAAGTGCAATATTCACAAATTCCGTTATGTACCAAGAAATATGAATCTGCAGCGTAGGCGATCCCACGCTGAACCAATGTAAACAATCCACATTCGGAGCAGGCAATGCTGCTTCTTAATAACATAAATAATTCTTCAATCAATATCCCAAGCGGGCGATCTCGCTCCCCAACTTATGTAATCAAAGGGCAGTAGAAGTAAGATTTTTGTCACAATAATTTAGTCTTAAGCTGACATCATTGAAAAACTAAAATTTATTTATTTTAAGTTAAATTTTTTTTTTTTTAATTTTTTCTTTACTGCTAAAGATGATTTTCATGATGAGCCGAATAGCGACGACAGCATTATGAATGATCTAGCTTTCCATTAAGCATGAATTTTATCAGTCGAATTTATACATAAATTGTAAGGTAGTCCTCCCGGAGTGATTATAAGTGAAAAGAATTCTTAAACCTCTTCAGGTACAGCTGATGATTGTCAATGACAATTAATGACGCCATCCTTAAGACCTTAAATTAGGAAACTTCTTATCATCTCAAAAAGAAATCTCTCAACTTGAGTAGCAGTCCGACATGCAACATGTCGAATGCCTGCTGAAAATCAAGATACGCTGCCATGATCTACATCATCTTCGTCCGGAGCCTTCTTAGCTTTTACTCGCCTTGTATCCTTTCTGACTTCCGAAAATTACTAGAGTCACAGGAACCTACATTTGAAGAAGGTTGCATTTGGAGGTGCAATATTGTAAACCTCTCCTTCAGGTTCATAGCAAAAGTCTGTGCCCTGTCCTACGCAGATTTAGTATAAAAGCCAACCGGACTCACAAACAACAGATTTTATTATTCCAATACTTTCAATCGCATTTTTTCAGAGCCAATTTATTAATTTATTTGTACAATGTATGCTTAATTATAAATTAGGCTACAGAATGAATATCAGCCATAGCTGCTGTGGCGTTCGGTTGCTTTTATTGATCTTAACATTGTATCCTTAAATTGCTTATTGCTAAATAGGTATGGATTAAATAATACGTAAATATCTGGACATTTATAATTTATGGAGTAGGATTGGCATTTCTTTAAGAAAGAATGAACTTTTGTAATGTCGGCTGTATCCAAACTGGCATTGGTTTGAGGGTGGTTGTACAAACTTGTTTGCATTGGTCAATTAAATATGTCCAAGACGTAATCTTGTGAGTTTTATTTGCTCGATTCGTGGAATTTTGGTGAATACGGCGTTTAGCAATATTAAGACCATCTTTATTTAAGTTTTGATACCAGTTTTAGGTAAAGGGAAATAACTGGGATGTGCTTTTATACCCTTGGGTATTATAATTTCAGTCAGAAGTTTGCCACGCACTAAAGAAGGCACCTCCGACTATATAAAGTATATATATTCTTGATCAACCTTGAACAGTTTCTACGCAAACTAGTCTCTCAGTTTTGAAGCTATCTGCATAAAACTTTGTATTTAGTCTCCTATATACTCTCACTCGTATATATGTCGGAACGGGCCGGATCGGACGACTATATCCTATAGCTGCCATAGGAATGATCGGAAAATGTTTACAAAAAAAAATATAACATTTTCAGTTTTCAAAAGATTGTCATCAAATTTGAGATATAGCCATTTCATATTATTCTACAATTTTGTGTAAAATTTTATGAAGAACGGACTACTATATCATATAGCTCCCATAGGGACGATCAAGAAATTAATACAATTAAAAATTATAACTTTTTTTTAGTCTTTATATCAGTCTTAAATTTTGTGTAAAATTTCATGAAAATCGGACGACTATATCATATAGGTGCCATACAAACGATCGTTTGATGTAGAGGAAAATGCAAATCTGTTAATGTAAAACTGCAAATATAATATGTATAGGTAATGAAATGAAAGCAGGTATTACTTCATTGTTTTTTAACTCAAATATATATAATTTATATTGTATGGATTCATAGTCATAGAATTTATATCTGTAAGGGTATATAAACTTTGGCGTGCCGAAGTTAGCTTCCTATCTTGTTTAATGATGATTTAAGACATCCGTTGATTTCTGGTCTATGAGTGAGTTTGGAGATGTGAAAAGAGGTGAACTTGTGTCTGTTTCGCACCCTTATCGGCGAAATCGTTGCCCGGATTACCTTGGTACCCATAGAATTTTTATTTTTGGGAAGTGGATGTTAATCAATCCTCGAATTTTGGAGTTCACGTGCTTTTTTTATAGCTTCAATCTTTAATCTAGTGAATCTGGGCAGGTCTATTTAAATAGCTTTGAGAATGACTGTTGCTTCGGCTGCGTACACTAGTCAAAAGTTCATATATACAAAAGTTTTCCCAAGGGCAATACATGTTGATTAGAGTATTGCTTTGTTTGCTAAGCTGATTTTCCATATACTTCCTGGACTTTTTCAACAACATGCCATTAAGCTTGTGGAAGAACACTGCTTTCACTCAGGAATGCAATTCTCTCTGACGAGTTTTCTGTGCTACAGAGCTGACCATCCGAGCAACACATGCAAAGGTGGCGCAATTATCACTTCCATCACCCCTAGGCACCTCCTCATTGGGTCGAACTAGCAAAAATGTTTACTTATCAAGATATAAAAGCCCATAGACTTGTGGCGTCGCGACTAATTCAATCCATTCGACTAATGGTCTTTGTGGCCGTACAATGCTTTTCTATATTATAGTGTTATCCCTAATAATTTTATATAAAGTTAATTCCCATTTGGCCACACTCTGTACAGTATTTAGGTTTTTGCTTAGAAAAGTAAAAACTAGAAAAAATCGAAAAAAAATTCCATACTGTTTTTGTTGTTTTATTGCTGGTTTTGTTTAAATTTTGGGTGTATTCAGATTTATTATTTATATTTTCTTATCTATTTATGTAAATTGAGTTTTAAAGGCGAGTACACGGACAATATAATTATTTATAGTATATTTAATTGGAACTGCATACATGAGAATGACAACTGCAATAAATTGTGGTTATCTGATCTATTCCACTTTGGTAGGCTTAGTGTTCCACGTTTGACACTCTGTGCAGTACTCGTTGCTAAGATTGCACAGATCGTGATACATATGACCACATTTAAACACGACTATGGAATTAAAGGTATCATTTTTCATTAGTATTGGACATTGACACTGTGCACAGCATTGATCATGGGATACTTGTTGGCCGCGCCGGTGCAATGAAACCACCTCGGAGTGGGTATCAAAATAATCATCAAGCTGCATTCTTTGAGCGGTGGATAGCATTTCCTGTTGGATATTGTAGTGCCATAGCATATTGATTACAGATTCCCGAAGATTTGGTATGGTCTGGCCCTTCTTTATTTTACTAACCACTACTTCTGGGTTAACAAAATCTAAAAAGCAATAAAATGAAGGTAGACTATGTAAAACATTTGAAATTCAAACTCTATATTACTTACCCACAATGCCATTCAAAACTTTCGTTATAATCTCAGGTTGCTTAGTGGATTCATCGATAAGTGTATTCCATAGATCGTTGTCATCATGCTCTTTACAAAATTCTATTGCCATTTCAACGTCTCTCATCTACAAAAAAACAAAAATAAAATAAAATAAATTTCTAGAGAATTACCCTATTTATAAGGGGTTAACCAATTTAACGTTCGATTTTTTAAAGTCTTTAAACCGTCAACTCGGTCAACTCGCTTGAATTCTAATAATAATACTCATTACCTTATGAATTATTATATTAAGGGCTTCTGCTGCTTCCACTCCGCCCATGCAACCCAGCAAGTAAACCATCTCTGGATAAAATTCTTCTCGTTTACATATCTCCAATGCATCTTGTATAACGTACTCCTTTGAACGCCGTAAGAATGGCAATAGTTTTGTACGATCATACTTTGCATACAAGGAAACCAACTTGTGTTGAAATATATTGTTACAGTTCACCTTTTGCAAAGAGTCCAAGTACTGTGAAATTCTAAATTGCTTTAAATGTATTTCAATTAGTGTATTCGATTTTACCAAAAATAAGTATTCCTGATTGTTCTCTAGCTGATGCACAACAACCTCTGGCTTGATCTTATTCCTGTCTAATAATATTTTAAAGGCACGTTCGCGGTCCAAACTTATTAAGGGAATAATTAATTTGGAAATTACATTGTACAGTTCATAACGTCGTATCAATTCGAAAACGTCCTTGTTCTGTAATCTAAGAAGAAATTATTGTTAAACATTCCTTGTATTGTGGAAGGATCTTGGTACTGTTACTCACTTTAAATACATTCGCAAAGCGCTCTCGTAGTCTCCCTGATATGAATAAAGAAGGGCAAGAGACTCAAGCAATTCATTCGCATTCTGTTTGCGAAAATTATCGTGAATTGCGTTAATCACAGCCAGTCCATTATATAGCTGTGATGGCCATTCCTTGATAAGGTTCAAGAAACCTTTTACATCAAACTTCAAAAACTCGTAAAGGACCATCTCGTACACGTGTGGATCAAGTTTGCAGTCCTCGGATGTAGGCAAATAGGCGCTTACCGAACGTAATTGCTGACATTTAACAAACTTGAAAACTTCTTCTTCCCAAAGAGCTTTATTGTTGCCCAACATACGAAGGCACAGTCTAGCAGCTTCTTCATATTGCTTCAGCGTCAGCAAGTGGTTTATATAAAGTCTGGTGCATTTAAAATTATGTATATTCGTTACGCTAACAGCTAATAAAAATCATACCTGGTAACAGATATAATGGGAAAGCTTCCTCCATGCGAAGATATCAACTCAATTGCTTCTTCAAATTTACTGTTGATAAAAAGTAAATTATTTATTTATTTATCTAAGGAAAAAAAAATTTAACTAAGAGGAAATATATATATATCATTATGTCATTGCAGAAAATATTAATATGTTATAATTACACAAACGTTATCTAATTGCACTAACTGGAGTTAATCCGTCTTTTTAAAAACTTAATTATAAGAATATAATAATAATATTAATATAAGTATGCTTTGGTCACTCTATTCGATCCTAGGCAGTGCCCAAATAGTCAATACAAGTTGGAGGAGGAGCAAGAAATGCTAGACACGGGGGGAAGCTGCGGAGTTGGTAAGGCGTATGCAACAAAACCGCAGCGCTCAGAAAAACTGGATCGTGGCATGAAAAGCATGGAGGAGCTGCATCAGAAAATCGAGACGGTCAAGACTTGGAGAATGACGGCGACGTGATTGAACAAGGAAGCGAGCGTAGCAACGATGCGATAGATGTATACACCGAAACGAAACAGATGGCAATCGTTACAACGATTTGCCGGACGACGGACAGAGAAATAAAAGAGACGCCAGCGAGAGTTCTGAAAATTTACAACAATGTGGAGGCAGAGGCATTGGATTCTCCTTTCGCGGCTGGGTCTTCCAATGGGACAATATATCCGAGTTATATAAACTTTCGAACATAAAGAGCACAGTTTTGCTGATTGGCAACTTGAAAGGCAGCCCGTTGCAGTGGTTACACGATGATTCAACGCCGTTTGAAAAACCAACGACAGAGCGGATGAACGAGTTACTTTTTGCTTTTAGCGGAAACGAATCGAAAGTAAATTTGAAGCACGTCTGTGAAAGCTAACGGATAAATTTGTGGTGTACTTCGAGGAAAAGCGCAATCTGACTCGAGATGTCAACATGGCGGCTATAACCTTTTTGATGGTCTGATCGCCATTATTATTGCCATTCCATTATTTTTAATAATGAAAACTTGAACAAGACAATTATTACAGAATGCTTTATAGATTTAGGAACCCAGTTTTACTTATTTATAAAAAATAAATATTCATATATATTAAAAACACTAGTTAAGACTCTCAAGACATGTATACTGGAAAAATAAGAAATATTGAAAAGTTATGGAAACGTGTTATACATGTTACATGTTATACAGGAAGAAACAACTTAATTGTTGTGGCTAGTGAATCTATAAAAATATGAATCTATGAAAGCTGTACTTTTAAAATTAATCAAGAAAAATTTTAAATATTTGCCGTCAAGAAATCCCAAGTTTGTAATAATATGAAAATTAGTTTATTGAATAATAAGATGCTTTTTGAATTCAAGAGAGAATCAGAGTGCAAGAAAGTTTGGAAGTAAATTTTAGGACCCCAAAACCTAGCACAAAAAAATTTTTTAAGCGAAAGAAGAATATTGTTTAAAGCTGGCAAAAAATCCTTAAGCTGAACCTTCAAGAAGGGCGCCGGCTGGGCAATGGGCACTGTATTACCCTTGCCGTCCGCGGTAATGCAGTATTTAGCTAAGGCTTCGCTTTAAGCCCAAATGTCGGTGTTGTGACTACTCCCACCGGCGGGCACGGAGAGGAGCAATCCTCTCTGCGTACCACCAGCGGGCGCACCTCTAGCATGATGGGGCAAGTTACACTAGTTTCAGCACTACTGCCACCACCGACTCAGACTCAGCGACTCAGCAAGTTATGTCGCACTAAAGTTGCTAGAGCGACAAACACTCGACGTACCTACCGCAAGTTAACCTTATGTCTCTGTCGCTAACGACCTCTAACGTTTTTGTCCCTAAAGAACTGAATGGCACAAAATGCTCTATTAAGTTCTGGCCAGAGTATGTCGTTGTTAAGGAGTTTGAAGCAAAGAAAAGAGCGGCCCGTAGGAATAGAAAAACTAACCATCTCTCTATTTATTTCCGATCAGAATACAAGAGGCTTAAGTAGTAAGCTTCCTAGCTTGTATTCAGATAGTCTTTAGTTTGCTTCTTAAGTTATTGTGTTCACAGAAACCCGGTTAAAGGCGGAGATTCTGAGTTCGTAAAATTTGCAAGCTGTGTTCACGGTAAATCGGCTAGATCGGCCTACACGACGTGGTGGTGGTATCCTCATAGTGGTTGACTCCACACTCGCGTCAGAATTATTAACTTTCGAAAAAGGCATCTATCTATCAAGGAAATCAAGGATGAAAAAGAAATCTACTAAGTCGTAGGCGGGAACAATCTGATTGGGGGAGCGCACAGAGGCACACACCAAGGTTGAGTTCTATCGCCCCTCGACGACCTAATCAAGAGGCTCGAGAAAAAAGACTCCGAATGTCACAGCTTATGCAGATGACATAAGGATAATTATCAAGGGAGTCTGTACATCGTCACTCAGCGCGGTTATGGAATCAACACTCAGGGAGACATGCGAGTAGTCGGGAAAAGGTAGGACTCAGTCTCAATATATTCATCGACGGCTCCAAGATGGAAGGAGAAGTAGGAGTGGGCATATACTGTACAGACCCTGAGATAAGGTTGTCGTATAAGCTGCCAAGCCAATGCAGCATATTCCAGGCGGAAATCTTAGCCATCAGGAAGGCGACAGAGCTTGCGCAGAGAATAGACCGTCCGCGTGAGCAAGTAAACCTGTTTGCTGACAGTCAAGCGGCAAGTCCATGAAATCTTCAGCGGTCAGCTATAAAAGTATACTGGCAAGCAGGGACCCCCCAAATATCCTAAACACGTCAAGGACAATTCGGATCTATTGGATAAACTGCTACCAGGGCATCGATGGCAACGAGACCGCTGAACGAAAACGTCCCCGTCCGCCTAAGAACGTTCCAAAGCGAGCTGGACAACAAAGGACCATATTAGCCTAGGCGTGCCCTTAACGATGGACTTTCGGATTAACCTAACCTAATGTTTAAGAAAAAGAAGTCACAAAATTAGCTTTTAAGAATATTTGGATACTTTTATATATATTTTAACAAAGCGTCAGTAAAGTATACATCATTTACTTCTTTATTTGAGTTTTTGTGAACGCCTATGGGTTTAAAAACAGCTCCACAGGTATTTAAAAAATTGGTTTATGACAAATATTCTGACATGAGAAAATAAGTTGATCATTATATGGAAGAGCATTCACAAGTATTATTATAAGTATTTTGAAGTTCATTTAAAATAAATTAGAGTTGAGAATAGACAAGTGCAAATTTTTACAATATAATATACAACATTTTCTGAATCCAAGCAAGGTGCAAGCAGTTAAAAGTTTTTATTAATTATTATTCTTATATTATAATTAAGCGCCAGTTCTGGCGATATACGATGTTAGGGATTATGTAGAGATTGACTGTGATGGAAGTGAATTAGGGTTTGAGGCTGTTCTTCTTCTAAAAAAATAACACAAGTTGCATCTCATTTTTTATATTTCACAAAAGGTCGAGGAAAAGAAAGAAAAATATCAGTTTTTAGTTAGTAACTTTACCTCTAATTTATGCGTTAAGAAGAAACGCGTCGTCTAAACGGGGGCTTTAAGTTTCCTTTGTATTTTGAACAGTTTTGTCAGTTTTGAACTGGAAATGCGCGTTGTTTTTGTATGGCTAGTTTTTGTTTCAAATTCTTAATTCTAAAATATATTCTAAACTTAAAATAGATTTTTTTTTGAAGTCATGTTGCATAAGGGTAAAGGTTCGAGAAAATGTTGTACGCATTTTGACTGTCGCCGAGACTACCATCGTAATTGTATAGCCGAAAATGTTAAGGTGTCTCTCTCAAACTTTTTGACACTATTTTCTCGGGTGATTTCGGCCCGATCACGTAGTAGTTAATGAGTATTTGGCTAGAAAAAAGAAATCACGGCCTGTGGGAGTACAAGCCAGGCCGACACAAGCCACAGTATCCACCTTCGTATGGCTTCCTTGATTTCTCATTGTTTCAAGTTAACCATGTGCATAATTTTTTAAACCGCTTACTTGATCTGATCCTGTAGGCCTAAACATTTTTAGAGTTCCTCCATTGACGCAAAATGAAGATCCTTACCATTGAAGTGTCTATCGATACGGGGAATATAATAGAAAATAAACCTGATCGAAAAGTTGACAAAGTCTGCTGTTTTCTAAAAACTGACTACCAAAAACTAATTACTTTAATATCCGAATTTAATTGGTCCGATCTGTACATATGCTTTGACATGACAACCAACGTGGACATTTTTTACAGTGCCACGAAATCTTTCTTTTCGTTAAGTGTTCCGGTAACCTAACCGTTGGTCTTTAATAAACCGTTTTGGTTCCACAAAGAGCTAACACGCCTAAAAAGTAAAACCTTAATTGTATAATAAATATAAGCTCACCGGCTCTCACATTATTCTTTCTAGTTATTTAAGCGCTTTACACAAACTTATTCAAGGGGATCTGAAGAGCCGCTTTTTGTTTGTTCAGATCAATTTCCATGTTACCCGACTAACATCTAGAACGTATAATCCCTTAGTAGTACATCACTGTAGGAGAGAGTTTGAAGTACATGAACCCTTCAGGGCTATTACGCTACACTCTATGAAAATATTGAAGGCATTGAAAGCCCTCCGAAACTAAAACTTTATTACTTGTAGAATTAACTTATTTTCCTCGTTCTATTACCAAATTTCTTCTCACGCGTCTTAGTAAACATTTTGTAACGCATTTTTACATATAATCTAAATACGGAATATATAATATAAGATATTTTTATACCCGTTATATAGTATAGATGTATATTTGTCATTAGTATAACCACCCGGGTCGATTTAGCCATGTTCAGAGATCCATCTATCCCTCCGTATGAAACAACAGATCTGAGAGACTCTTAAAGCTAAGGTTATCAAATTTTTATAGCATAATCGGATAATAAACGTACTCATTAGACAATAACATACAATACAGTGCATTGACCCATTGCGATGGATGTTGCTCAACAGGCCACTAGCAACATTTGCTTTATTTTTGTGTTTCGCAACATGTTTTTAGTAACATATATCTTTATTGAGACATATCC